AGAATTTGCAATATGAACCTCAAAACAATGCCAACACTAAAACACAGGAGCTGAAGTCTATTGAAGGAGGCAAATAACACTTTTAAAATGCTTTTTTCAGCCTTATATCCATCATGAAGTGACCTGTTTTGGTGTCCCTTTGAGACTTTTCAGGTCTTATGCAGATGCTGTGAAATCTGTCCATTTTTGTTGCTTTCATTTGTAATACACCTTTAATCAGAATATCATGTCATTTGGTCACTCTACACAGTTCATTGCACACTTTTTATAGTCAAAACTTCTGCAAGAAATACTCTGTTTTTGTTTCCCAGTCTAGTATTTAATGGTTCATCACGTTTTGGTACCAGTACTATATTTTTTCATTTTGTGTTTTCACGAAAAGGCAGGCGTTCCATTACGTAATTGCTTTAAGATGACAAATTCTTGATCAACTGATTTTGTTTTTGCATTGTTTCTTTAAAATACACATATTAATTGTTACAGAAAAGCAACTTATTATTAATGCTAGATTGTTTAATACATTAATATCAAATTAATACTATGTTACGTTTGCTGTCCAGGGTGTGTTAAATGCTCATATCATAATAATAAAGAACTAATTTATTATAATGCAACCTTAAATACCACTTTACTAGAAAACCTCATTACTGACTTTCCACCTTTATAAAAGGCTGCTCAATCGGCAGAAATACTTTGCAGTGTTTTGATAAACAGGTGACTCATTGTGTTCAATAATGAGTTTGAACGAGGCCAGACTTTTCTTCGCTGGGGAGAAGTATAGGGTCAGTCAGCTGAAAGCAGTCACTTGTTTCAGAGTGACAAAAGTGCCTTCTAGAAACGGCTACATGTAATAACTTTGGGTCGCTTTAGAACAGCATGGTAACCATTTTCACATCAATGTGAAAAGGATATTTATTCTCCAGCCACATGGTTGCAATTCACATGGCCACATCAAAGTGTGAGTTTGTTTGACTAACTTTGTGGAAGTTGACAGCTGAATAATACAGTGCTTATGTCTGTGCCATCTCTAAGACGGTGTTTATTTAGATGTAACTCATGTACGTCTGTGAGCAATTGTAAAACAATATAACTATTTTGAGAAATAATGGAAAATTTTACACAAAGAAAAGTCAGATGAGGTGTCAAAAAATAACTTACGGTTTATTTTTTAATGTGACAGTATGGTTACAGGAATTTCAGGCAGGGATAAAACATACTGATTCTATTATGCAGTTCATCATGTTTACACATTTTTAGCAGCGGAACTGGAATGTCCTGTGTATTTTACTATCAATAATAATACATAATACCTAATATAATACTTAATAGCAGAATACAAAAAAAGATGGCGGATGACATGGATGTCATACATTAATGGGACAACTCATTTTCACATCGGCAAGATGGAAAAACACGTATTCAATTTTCACAATCCAAAACTTTGCAGGCCCCCTAAGTTTGTATTCACATTATACTACATGTATATAATTTTACCCAAACATTGCACCTACAGTAGGTGATAAGCCTGTTTTTCAGTAGGATCCTATTGGACATACAGTATTTGTTTACCTACAGGAACTGCTTTCACATTAGTTAAGATTGAAGTCTTCATGGGCTCTGAAATTGCCTTGGCTTGCCTGTTCAAGAACCACGGCGTGCGCTTTTCATAGACGTCTGAGGAATTTCTGCCTGAGAAAGCACACTGTCACTGCTCCGTCTGTACACAGAAGTGGCCTTGGCCACAGAGCGGCTTGTAGAAAATTTAAAAACACAAAAAAACAGCAAATTTTGATCTTTTAAGAACAAATACACTGAGAAATGCCTCCATTATATTTAGCAATATTCCTCGTTAGATTTTATTTTTTATAAGTATTTTGAGTCTTGATGGCCAGTTTTTGGTAGACCAAGGTCTTTATTTTGAAACCTTAAAGTTGATTTTTCAAAGCATACTGTATGGTATAAATTTTGGATCTTTTATCAGTAGTGTAGTCTTAAATAAAGTCTTAAAAATCCACATTAAGGATTAATGATAATCCATATTATCAATGAATTTTACCATCTGCTTTTAAGATGGGGGAGCAAAATTAAAATCTTATTTGCAGAATGAATGGTCAGGCAATTCAGTGGGGAAAATTAAAACACGTTCAATATTACAAACCAAAAGGCCAAAAAGGAATGTTCATGTTCGGTCACGTCTTCCATCTCAAGAATTAAAACGAATACACACACATTAGCAGCAACATCTAAAACAACATCTAAAAACTCTACACTCCATCATCCCCAAGCCTCTGTTGGAAAAACGCGTGTGCTGTTCAGTCTCACTCTCTGAGCATGGGGGACTTTGTTTGAGGAAACAACCTCAGTTTAGTTTGGCCAGAAAAAAAAAACGCTTGGCACTGCAATTGTGCAGTCCACGATAAAAGTAACAGTTACGAAAATACAATCTTCAAGTTTTTGGTATGGAATATTCTGGACACAACTGGCAGGATTAAAGTTCTAGAGAGCAACATTGTTACATTGCCTACTTCCTGGGGTAAGTTAATTCTGGCACTTGTTTTCCATGCCTTTACAAGTCCTTAACATCCAATAAATTAATTACTGAATTCATTCTTAATCTTTAATTAAACCGGGTGCTGGTGCCAAAGATAATTTTTTCAATTAAGGATTGCCATTACTAAAATAAACTGAAAGTGTTCATGTTGATGTAGTCCTTTATGATCCAGACACACACAATTCCAGTTTTCTGGATTTCTTTTTAAAATGATCAACGGCTGTCAGCCTTTGAAAAGTGTTAAATCAGTCCAGTTAAGCTACTGATGAGCTCAATTAGGCCATTAAGAGCAGAGCTGGAAGAAAACCAGGCCCAGTCCAAGTATTTGTGTAACACACCATGGTGAGTCACCCTTGTGTGGCACTTACAAAATCCCATTGATTCTTCTCTTTCGAAAGTTCCAAAAGGAAGCAGGGAGGCTGTAAGTCATTGTGTTATTAAAACAGATTCAGAGAAACCGGGTTTTGGTATTTTGCCCACGAGATTGCTGTAAGAAATCACACCATTTACATAGATAGTTTTGCTTAAAAAAAAACTGCCTCTCAAGTTGCTTGCCCCCAAGAAATGGCAGGAGGTTTTTTTTCCCTGTTTGATGTTCACTCCTGTTGATGATCTGCATTTGCTTAATGGTATGATTGAACATAAGCAAGTGCAGGGAACCTAGTAGAAGCTATCAATGCTTTGTAAATCTTTTTTTTTCCTCAATGGCAGCACCTTATCACACCATTATGTTACACAATTCACAGGCATTCCCTTTGCTCCTCTATAATCTATAATATTCTGACATAAATCCACTCCAAACTCTGAACGCAACCCATTTCCATTTGAAATATTTACTGTAACTGAAAATACTTTTGCATTAAGTAAATATTTGCAGAGGTATTGTAACTGTTACTCATTTTAGGTGTCTGAAGTGTTTTCAAGTATGCAGCCTCACAACTTACAGTATTGTCTAACTATCAGCTCCTTCCCTCTGAACAGCAAGTTCTTGTCAGTAACCAACCACACCTGCTGTCCTAAACACAGCAGGTTTCCAGAGGTACCTGAACAGTCCAACTCCTCGTTGTCTAGAGCTGGACATTGTCATACTCTATTCCTCAGTCTGTTTACATTGTGAAATAGACATGTTTATTATTCCTTTCATGTGGAAACCTTCTCACCCTCCATGGGAAGGTGGTTACAATTCATTCTTTCACATACAGAAATTTATACATCCTGGATTTAAGTCCTGTTTTACAGGAACTACATATTTTAATTTATTCAATTCAAAATCATTAAACAAATATCCAATATTTCTGTCCTAGATCTACACTCCTGCTCAATTATACAAGTCTCCCTTTCACAAAGGGTGGCTGAAGAATGAAAGAAACAGACCCAAGACACTGCTTCTCCATTAGGTAGGGAGCTGTGTCAACATGCGTAGGCTGCAAAGGAACAGGTAAAGGGTTATTCCATGCTTAAAGGAAAAGAAAAGACACACACTGGCTCTTTACAATGGCTTCTCCATTATACTATTAACTGTAGTGTTAACTTTAACAGTTGCTTTTCTGAAAGGGAAATTTGAAGGGAACTCCACTCCAGCTGACTCTAAAGTTACAGTAGATCTGCACAATGTTATGTTAAATGCTTGGGGTTGTTAAACAGCATGCAGGTAGCTGCAATTTTGTAACACTACAAAAGAACATGCAAGATTGTTGCTAAAGGATCAATTCCTGAAACTCTAATGTTACATAGCTTAGTGCCCTAAAGAGTACATAAGAATATAATGTTTCTCCTTGATTAAATGTATATTGTTTCAGCAGTGTTGTTTTGCAATTAAACAAGATGTGGCTCCTCTCCTGTATGAAAGCACTTTGGGATCCTTAGGGATGAAAAGCACTGTAGGAATTCAAGGAATTATTAATTATGAGCAGCAACTTGCTTTTCATTTAGACATATCTTCTTAAAACATTCTCTGTTCTGGACTAAAGAGCTCTGCTATAATGCAGAATAATTACAGACAGAATGTGTACAGTAGCAGGCTCGTTACTTCAGAACCCACTGCCCTGTGTCTGTGGCAGTGGCGCCCTCTAGTGCCTAGCAATCAGGAGCAAAGACTGTCTTGCTTTGCTCTGAAAGATCTTAACCCTCAGAAGCTGACTGGTAAAGAAAGAGGACTGTAATTAGCAGATAGCAACACAGTGTCAAACTACAATTCTTCAGCTGAGTGCAAGCTGAGGATTTGTTATATATTTTTTGTTTTACTGTTTGTGCACTTTTTGTGTGTTAGGGAAAACGGGGTTCAGATGAGAATGAAAACTGCTACCCAACAAAGCAACAGGCAAAGAGAGACCCTGTTCCTCACCGAGAGGGGACAGCAGCTACTGATCAGTCAGACTCTCCTTGCCTGGGCTGTAGTCTCTCATGGCTTATTACATGAGACAACTGACAGGTACCTCTCCTGTCTGCTTACTCTTGATGGGATCTTGAGACCCTCCCTGCTGGCCATGGCCAAAATAAAGTGATATCAAATACTTCTGAGAAAGTCATTTTGAACCGGGTAAACAGCAAGCGTTTGGTTTTAATGTATGAGATTTGCTGTACTTGTGTAAATGGGATTGTAAAGTGGGTTTTTGTTCGGTACTTCAGTTTCCTAACTTTTCCTCCACGCTCAGCGCAGCTTGCTAAGACACACTGGGTGGGTAACCTTGTGTCTCGAATTGTCCCCCTGTCCCAGTGTCCATTGTGCATGTGTGCATGTGTGTGTATATCCTGCTATTAAGCCCTCAGTTTTGGGAATAAGCTCCAGCTTGCTGCAACCCTTACCCGGAATTAGCAACTTTCTAGCGATGGATGGAAGAATCACTATTGCCTACAGTTTACAACTGCAGTTTAAATCTGTTAATGCAGATTCAGAATCATTTGTCAATTTAACTTTCATGATATCTGTTTGTCTGCAATTGGTTCTTTTAGTACAACCTGTTTCAACCACATTTGCTTTTTACAGCTTTGTACGATACCCTCTCTCTTCTACCAGCAGCGATATTCAGCGATATACCAGTTTCAGATTTATTATTTTTCACAGCCCAATATCTTATTAAAAAACTCTTTGTCTGCCAATTGAACGACGGCTGTGGAAATCCCCTGCATATCAGTCTCTTTATATGGGGTTGTAGCCAATTACAGTGCACATAACCCCATGCTATCAAGCAATTAACTTAATTAGCCGTTAGAAAAATAAGTTGTGGTACCTCTAATTAAAGTGACAAATATTGAAGTAGGTAAATAATTGCAATTGACTAAAACCTTAGTGTGCATGAGCCATAATTAAGTGATCCTGTAGTTTCCTGGTCACAAGTCTGATTCGGTATAAAAGGACCAAGTCTTGAAACAGTACGCCAAGTCATTCATTTGAGCTCCGTCGCCACAGAATCCAAATGAAACCAAAGGATTTTTCTCAAAAGTTGAAAGTGTACAATTGTGTGCTTTAATTTGTATATATTTCTTTTTAAAAAATCAAACCCTTATGGACCTTTTAGACCAATGGTCAGAAACTTAGTTCCTGGAGGGCTAACCATCTTGTCTACATTTGTACTACCAGATAAGTCAATTAAACAATTAAACAATTAAACATGTCTAGAACTTTTCTTAAGACATTTTAGAGCTGATTATTCAAAACTATCACTTTAGTTACCTACTGAATATGTCAGAGCCTGATTAAAGAATTACAATGATGCAGTTAACAATAAGAGCAGCTATGTAACCAGAACACTCTATACCTTCCAAAAACTGTGATTGAAACCCTTGGTTTAGACTACAAAATGCACAAAATCTAAAAATCAAAGAGAAATAATGCTACATGATAATGTGCTCGCTGTGTTACTTTACAAACAGGTATCCATTTCTGTCAAGCACATACAAAAGTCTCCTGGATTATAATGTCTCCCTAGGAATATCTTCTTTTAACCAGCTGTGAACACCCACTGCAAGTAAAGAGCACTTGTGAACAAGCAAAACGTCAACGCATCAGTACGTCATATACTGATACATCACAGCAATTAACCAGTTTTCCAGATGCCAAAGGATAGTCATTGATTATGTAATCTTGAGTATTCTCCCAAAGTCTGTTTCAACGTTTTGTTGAAATATACAGTGTGAATATATTGTATCTTACAGCTTCACGTCAGTGTATTCTTCACATATCAAAAACAGTTGGGCAGCCCATCTGCACTGATTAAAGCTTCATTTTCTCACAGAGCATGGTAAAGGAACTGAGCAACACTTTAATGTGTCCTCCCTCTTTCAAGAGCCACGAATGATCCCCTGCAAGTTCCCTCCAACTTCCCAGAGATTTCACTGCTGTGAAGTTCCATTGAAAAGGAAGGAGAAGATGATGGTTTATTAAAAGACATGTAAAGATAGTAGCCATTCGTTAAACTTCTCCTGTGCTTCCAATATGGATACTATCTTTCTTTAGAGATCTTTAGAAGTTTATAAATTAACATAAAAATAAAAGGCAGCAATATATTACACCACATTATTAAGAAACCAGGACTCCACATGGCATCATCCCTCATAAAATGCGAGGACAATAATAAAAACAACAACTCTGCACCCCTCTTGAAACAACATCTTTCACAAGGCCTGATGTTTTCAAGGGTGTGCGATTACTTGCTTTTTGCTTGTTGGTATGTTTTCTTGTTCAATATGACACTTTGTCCCTGTGACCACCGCCTGGGTTACAGAGGCTGTCGGGCTGAGCTGAGTGCTGGCTCTTCCCTCTCTCCGGAATCAGGAGACGACAGGAGTCATGTCCCACAGCTGCAACAGGAAACAGACGCCTGTGAGGAACACTTGGCTCTTTCTGTGTTCCTTTCTCACTTCTGTATATGAACAGGCAATGCCCACGTGCTGGAGTTCCTGTCACGCTCTAAGACAGAGCTCTCGCAAGGGTCATCTTTATTTCATCGCTGGGAATATCTTTAAAAAAAAAATCTCTACTTTTCTTCTGAATACATAACCAAAATACCGGAGATTGCACTCTTTTAATTGACATTGATGCATCTCAAACTCCTATAGTTTAAGGGGATGAAGCACCACACATCTTTTTAATAATTTAGTACTGGCTCTTGTTTTTCTTTTCATGTTTTCCCACATTCAGAAATCATCACCTGCCAACCACCCCAGCCCAGGGCTGGGACTCTCCTGCTTGCAGGAAGGTATCAAGGACAAATGAAAGCACCCTCACTTGCTGGAGACATTCACCGTTTCGGTGCAGTGAGCAGAGTCGGGATCTCTGGGCCCTCTCCGACGGCTCAGCCAACTCGCAGGCCCCCAGGGGTCACCTGTACGAGCTCCCAGCATGCCAGCTGAACCTGGACCACAGCTTCCAACCTCCAGTCACACTCGCTTCATTACACAGTAGCATTAAACTGCTGACCTCTGGACTTAATGGCACGTTCAGACCTGTGCCTTCACTGGGTGAACCTCTCAGGAGCACCAGTCTCTAGCTTTCTTTTACTGGACAGCAAAGACTTGATGCAGGACTCTTCAGGTTTCTCCACTGCCTCTCAGATAAACAGCTGTCGTTCCTGGCCGGTAACGTACCTTTACAATCTTGTCAGCCCCGGATGTCAGGAGCCACCCTCTCGTGGCCTCGAAGTGCATGTGGACGATGTTGTGCTTACTGTCGTGGAATGTGGCGGTTGGCGCTCGGCTACAACAAACCATGGAGACAAGAAACTGAATCGCTTTCGTACGCAGACGGGTCACAGGGTCGAGGGCAATCTCTGTAATGTCTCACTACAAAGGATCCCCGAGGGTCCAGAAAAGAGCCATTCACCTCACCTAAAAATATGTGTAACATACAATGGAAATCACTGAGGTTAAAAGGTATTTACAGTACAATCAGCCTGAGTATTTTTTGTTTGCTAGACAAAGTGGGGAAGCAATAAAAAGCCGATAGTTCCATTATTCAGCTCAGTGTGTAGAAATGAAAATGGGGATGTTATGTTAAAATTATACAATGCACTGCTGAGACCACATTCAGAATATGTAAAGGTTATTCCATGCTGAAAAGAGCCTTCTTCAGGCTTCATACCTGAGGCAGGCTCCACAGCCGAATTGTTGTGTCTCATTTCTTTTCCTTTCAGCATGGAATAGACCTTTACCTGTTCCTTTGCAGCCTATGCATGCCGACGCAGCTCCCTACTTGAACACATCGAGAATATTGTGTATAATTATAATTTTTCACGTTACAAAGTAGATCTGGTTGCTCTGGAATCAGTCCACATTTCCAAATTGCTCAAAGCAATGTCCGGCAGTGATAACCTAAAATCTAATGCTTTTGTTTGTAACTGGGAGGACTGCAAGGTGATGGCAGCTAGGTGAGATTCTTGGATCTATCAACTACTTTCAAACGGATGGATTTCGTCAACGCTGATAAACCGGACCAGGGCTATCCAATCAGGGTCCTGGGGGGGTCTGTGTGTCTACAGATTTAATTGTTTCTTTAAACCAGCAGCATCTGAAGAGACAGAAGGAACTGTTTGATTAAGCCAGTAGCTGATCTGGCCAGCAGTCCTCCAAAACCAGGAGCTGACAGCCCCGCCCAGGATTATGACAAGAGGCAGCTGGTCAGATCGATTAACCCAGACGGCTCATCCTTCCCTGAGAGCCCTTATTACGTTATTATTGATGATTGATTTTCTCCCTTCACACCATGCGCATGGTGTGAAAGTGCTGTCTATTGCACCGTGTACGTCTCCAGAGAACAGGATGAACACGAAGCCCAATGTACACGTACACATGTCAAATAAACTCCTCTCTCTCTCTTTTTCCAGCTAATTTTTTGAGTCCCAGGTCAGTTCAATCATGAAGGGCCGTGGTTGGATCGGAGCCCTGCGAATGCATGAACTGGAAGGGTGAAGGTCACCCAGCCCAGGTGTGAAGGGGGACAATATGAGGGGGACAGGTCAACTGTGTGCAAACCGGCCTGCGGCGCAGCTCCTGCACTGCTGGATGACCATTTTTTTCTTAGCTGACGGGATAAGGGTACGTCCAGTGCGGCCAGGACAGCGCGGGCGCCACCGATGGCTCTATGGCCACTCACTCCTCATCGGTGATGGACTCGTAGCAGCTGTCGCACACCCTCACGTCAAACTCGAAGCCCATCAGCGGGATGGTGGACCGCTTCGAGCTGCACTTCCCACACACAGCCTGGCCACACTTCCGGCAGTGGTGCTGGAGAGACAGGAGACCGCAATCAGGGAAACAGGGAGCAGGAAAAGCAGAACGCCTCGATTTGCCAAGTACAAGGAATCTGATCTGGTGTCTTGGTGCAAAAACAGAGACAGAAACAGTTCAACAGTGCGCCTACACTGCAGATAAAGAACATGCACAGGTCCGTAGTTATAAAGGCACACACTACGTCTGTATTCCTGTGTTCTGGTCAAGCAGGGTGATGGCCATGGGGACGAAGCTGGTCAGATGCCGGGTGGTTTGGGTTTTGACTGACCAGTAGCGTCTCCCCGTGGCGGATGTTTGAAGCAGGTGGTGTCCTAGTCATCGATCTATTCTGCTTGCTTCTTTACTCGTGAGGTTATATGCCAAACGGCTGCTAATGACTCTAAATACAGTGCACTGCAATTAGCCACCAGAGTGGACACACACGTTGCCAGACGCCGTGAGAATGTTCTCAATAACGGCCCTATAAAGCTGACGGGGAACGGGCTGGGAGATATTTCCATTTTTCAGTTGACGCAGGAAACACAATGTCTGCTTTGCTTTCTTCGTGATGCCGATAACATTTTCTTGCCATACCCACTACCGAAACAGAACACTTCCCCCAGAATTCAGAGGGAAGCCAGAAGCAACACTCGTACAGGAAAGGTGCCGTCTTGTACTAAAGCTAAAGCTTTACCTGGTATCTGCCTCAGTAACATACAGTACAAACTGTGTTTCCATGTGAATAATAGAGTCAATTTCTTTCTTAATAAGTGAGATACCAGAGTGCTACTGTACAACTCCTTGTGCCTGAAAATGACCGCACAGCAACATCATTGTGAGACATCAGCACCTGCAAAGTAAATACTGCAGTGTTTTTTAAAGGAAATATAGAAATAGTTAAAGCATGTAGTTTGAAGCTTCCTACTGCGTAATTCATTCGCACGATTAGCGCTTGGTAATGCCACTATTTCAGACTAGAAAAAAAAAAACAATGCCAGTTCATCTTTATGAAGGTTTTTGGTATTTTATTTAGGTCCTTGTAAAGAAAATCAAGTTGACATAGTCCATGCCTGTGTGGTGTTTTGACATTCTGTCTTGTTACTCCCATAAAACACAGTTGTTTTATGGGATAATTGCAGAATCACACCTCAGTACTTTCTGCACACCTACGACCACTCAGGCAAATAATCTCACAGTAACACTGCTCTCTCTGAAGTTCCCTGTGTAACTCAGCTAAAGTGATCTCTCCCTTCTCCACCTCGTGTGCTACATGAAGAGGGAGACCTCCTGCATGTGAAGACTGGCCTGCCTGGCATACATGAGTGCTCTCTGTTAAGTGACAGAATAAAGGTGCCCATTCCACCTGGAATTTCAAGAAGCCTAAGTACAGACCAGAAATGCTGTCCATGTCCATTTGAGCAAACGCCATTTTAATTAGTCATTACTGATAACTCCATGATCTAGGGTGAAGTAATAACAGAAAAGTAAAGTGTTGCACAATACAAAAGGCCAATAAATAACACTGTGCTTCACAGAAGAAATGTGTTCAGTTACATTTACAGTCAGGTTACACAATGTCAGGTTTCACAGAGGAAGCAATGCCTTGGTTCCTGCCTCCCAGCTATTCTCCCGAATCCGACAGCAAAAAACAGCTCTCGGTGAAATCTGGAGTCATGCCACTTTCTCAGATTCTCACTTTACAGTGCTCATGCTAAATGCAGCAATTTCAAACATTCCAATGATGCAGGACAGCAACAATTTATAAAGATGCCAGGAGTGGAGGAGGGAACATTTCTTCAGAACTGTTAACGCTTAACTTTGGGACTCTGATAATACACTGTATTTCATGTTCCGAGAGTTGCTGTCAAAGAAGTCCAAAACTGTAAATAACACTGTGCGGTCCTCTGGGGGCACTGGGGCTTTATTTCCACAAGAGTAGGGATGCAAATACTGTATTCCATTGTTTGTAAGAGTGGGGGTGATAATCCCATTGTCCAAATGCCTCTGGGTTTGCACAATGTGGCCTGTTTAAAGCTCCTCTCTAAATCAGCTGAAGACATTTCTCACTTCTCCACCAGATCTGCTGCATGAAGTGGGTGACCTCCTGTATGTGAAGCACTGTGGGATCACTTGGGATGAAATGTACCATATAAATGCAAGCCATTTTACTGCACTTACATTATATTGCACCCTGATTGGCTGTGGTGTTTTGTACTAAAATGCATTGTACTACACAATATATTATACTATATGACAACGCATGATGCACACTTAATATTCTGTAATACGGCTCCATATTGCACAAGTGCTTTGTCAATACCCGTGGATTGTCACTCTAAAATACCTCATTCGGAGTTGGAGTCTGAATGAAATTTCAATATTTTAGGCCCCAAACACCTTACAGCCCCTAACCCTAACCCTTACGCCCACGTAAGTGATAAAAACAACCTGCTTACCTGCCTCAGTCCAATTTTCTTGCTGTCCCACATCTGCTTGAAGTTCCAGAAGAAAGGCTGTTCACACTTCTGACAGGAGTCACTGTCCAGCCACTCTGGAGTCTACAGAAGGCAACAGGAAATAAACGTATTTCTGTTTCTTATAGTGGTCAGTTTTACTGTATTTGCTTTAAATCACACTGGCCCAGGAAGAGTCAGCAGCTTGGGCTCAGACTGCCTTAAACATAAAGACATTTATGGGGCAGTGAGCCTCAAAAACTGAGCTCACTTCACAGGGCCAATGGAAATGACCGCAACTCTTGTACTTTCTGAAGTATACTGCAGAATATTAATAAAAATATCACCCGTCCCACTTGTAAATCTCACACGAAAATTGCCTTCTGCAGCAAATTCCTGAACATTGAGTTACATCGCATCCTTCCACAATAATCCACCCTGGAACCAAACAGGAACAGCAGTTCGATCTCGGAGCCGAGGGCAACAGAACAGCCCAGTTCTGCAGACACACAACACTGGGGGCAGACTTCTCACTCAACAAGCACCACCCGAGAAAGACAATTAAATACTGAGTCAACACAGCAACCCCTTTCTGAAATGAAACTGAAAATTTCAGCAATATTTGTTCCCTATAGATACAGTACATACCCATCAGCTTAAAATTCAAAATGAGATCAGCTTTAGTGGCATTAAAATTAGGACTACTGGTAAAACTTTTACACGGATTTAAGATATTGACTAAAACCACTTAATCTGCAGCTTGAGACAGATTCAAGCCAAAACACTCTAGGGAAAGTGTGCTGATCCTCAACGGCAGTGAATTCCTCGGACCTCCTTATGTCCTAAGCAGGATCATACAGAGTGCAGCTCCAGAGATCTCCGTTTCCAGTCACGAGTCATGACTTGAACTCATTAGTCGCTCCAGCGATAGGCAGGAGCCAAGCGCCTTTAGGAAGAGCTTTCTGACCTCCTGCCTTTTAACATCCATGTTCCAGATAACGATCCCTCCATCAGAACTGCATGAGATCAGCTGGCGTGTGTGGTGTGCATAGCAAAGGCCTTGGACTTTTTCACTGCAGAGGAGACAGGCAAACACACACAGTAGAAAACAAATCAGGCCCCTAGTTAAAGGTGACATTGCTCAGCACAGTCTAATATTAACTTGCCCGCCCTGCACAGCGCCTCACAAGCACGGCAGAACATATTTTTACTTGTTTTATTCCTTGAAGAGCTACTCCAGTGCCCCCAACGAATGACCAATGACCTGTAATAGGCCAAACAAACCCAAGCACAAACATTTTTCTCCCCTTCATTCAACGTCTGAAAACAGTTAGGGAGAACTCAACGGATAAAGTCTCTGCCTTGAAAAAGCGAAGAAAAAAGTGAATTGTTCTAAAAAGAAAGGGGTCACGGAAATATTAGCAGAAAAACCCTGAGATACAAGGGGTCCAGATTCAGTGATCAAAGCAATCTCCAAGTTTACCTTGGGTTAGCCTTGGTTAATTAGGTTCTAGGTAAAAGATTAAGTGTCGATCAACAGTCCAGAAAAACAGCTCAGAAAGAGGGATCCTTGTTCCAGATCACCTGGCAAGACCAGACTGGAGCCAAGTCTTTGAACCTGGTTAAAAGAGTTCTGGGGTTTTCAGGAAACACTGATTTCCTGTGTAAAAAAATCCCTCCATTAAAAACGGCCTCTCCTGGTTAGTGGGTGCATTTTTAGAGTAGGGAGGTAGGTTACACTTCATTTAGTGACATCTAGGTTTACAGTGAGAGAGATTTAACCACAAGTTGTATTCTCTTTAGTTTAGAAGGCACCTCATCTCTTATGTATGTTAGAGCTTGAATACTTGGTAAGTCTGGGATTTTTCTGGGTGGTTGGGACGTTAGGCCTCTGGGGCACCTTGTTTGTAAATTTAGCGCAACATATGTTGTGTGCTTATGTTGTGTGTGGTTAAGTGTGTGGATTGTCATTTTTAATAAATATTTATTTAACCAAATGTTTCTGAATTATTACTCTTTTCACCAAAGCTGTGCCAGAGAACAAAGAATTCACATGCCTCTATCTACACTGGTCGCTCAGGTACATTCTTGGAAAAGTTAGGTGTTACGATTAATTTATTTATTGATTTATCCTCTTGGCTCATTTCCTGATTTTCCCCATTTTCAGTCCCATTAACGCCGAATTCCAGTATTCCCCCTCACTATCGACTGGCTTGACATCGCCGTTCTACCTTCCCTATTAAGGACGTTAGATGGGGACCCCCTGTATGTAAAACAGGCCTGCATTTCGGAAGGAAAGAGCAGATCTGACAGTATGTCAACAGCAGAGGAAGTCTGACTTAAACCCGGCTTCCTTCTGGCACGCTGCACAGATGGCCGCTGTCACTGCCAGCCTCCTGTTGTTTACTTTCACCTAGTGTGTGTTCCCAAAGGAATGTAGTTTGACTGTAATAAAGCCTAGAGCTCTTTCCTGGGCATGTCTAAGTAAGAGGACAGATGACACAGGCAAGCACTCGTATTTGATTGCAGAAAGAGCCCTTACTGATCTGTGGCCGTACCCCTCTTGGTTTGAGGTATGACTGTCTGGACATTAAGGACAAGGATGGTGGATCCCCCCTTCCTCCGTAAACCATTAGGAGTTTCCATCCGCAGCAGAGTTATTGAATGGACAGGACGCATTAACATTTCCAACTCCAATAGAAGTGGTCTTGAAACCTGTACTTCTACCCCAGAGCTGGCGATTGCTGTGAACTGATGCTCCACCTGTACCCCACTTGTACTTCCAAAGTAAACAGCATTTAAATTCCCTTGTGAGGGAAAGGAAATGATTTTCTCCTCGATTCAGAAACACTGATGATAACCTCAGCACAGCAGAGTTGAAACAAGCTGTTATTTAGCAGTCATAGCTGAAAACCCTTTCTTTGCCCAGCAATCTACCTTAGGGAAAGATAATTTCTTCCAGTCAGTTAAGGGGTTAAGCAAAACATGTTTTTAGCCCTGTAAGGTCAGGCTATCTGTCTGGCAGGGCAAGGGGACATATTCAGCTCCTGTCTATAAAATGGAGGGAAATCTTTCAGCACTTACTTGTGACCCTGCAGTTCAATGGCTGTTCCTTTTCTGCCTCCTATATCCCACATAATGATTGAATGGTCCGAGCTCCCCGAGAAGAGGACACGCTGAACTGGGTCCCAACACACAGCTGTCACGCTGCCTGGAGAGGCAAGACAACACTGGTCACCTCCGAACAGAAGCACGACTCCCCTCCTGACTGACTCAGATAAACGGCACAACTCGAGGTCTGTCAAGACAACAATTGTCTGACCACAATTCTCTGGGGCAGCAGTAGGTGAAGCTAACTTGACCATGATTCTCTGGGGCAGCAGCAGGTGTCTCTAACCTGACCATGATTCTCTGGGGCAACAGCAGGTGAATCTAACCTGACCATGATTCTCTGGGGCAGCAGCAGGTGACGCTAACCTGACCATGATTCTCTGGGGCAGCAGCAGGTGACGCTAACCTGACCATGATTCTCTGGGGCAGCAGCAGGTGTCTCTTAACCTGACCATGATTCTCTGGGGCAGCAGCAGGTGTCTCT